AAGAAAGTAGCAGAAAAGAACTAACCATAAATTAAAAGAACCATAGCTAGACAGAGGCAAAAGATAGTAAAAGAACCATAAATTAAAAGAATCAAAGCTAGACAGAGTACAATTACCATTATAATTTTTAAACTAAGAAACCATGTAAGGCAGGTAAGAAAAAGGAACAAAACTCAAGTTCCTTTATTGATGGTTAAATTTGGGATTAAAGAATGGCACAACCCAGAATCTATAAGTTTATTATATGAACAACTAAAAATTCAATCTGCAAGACACTAATAAAGAATTATAGGAAGAAAAAATAACAAAATTCAATAAATTTCACAAATCAAATCTGAAAACTGTTGGCGGAATACTACAAAATATGAAAAGTAAATAATTCATATCCCTGAACTAATTGTAATCAAATGTGTCGCTTTCTCCTACTTGAGATTCTTGGCTCCTTCACTTCTAATTCTAAAGTATGTCCTATATCAAATTTCTGCACACTGATTCAACCGAAACTTAACTTCATTAAATTAGAATACGAGGATCATGTGACTAACTAATACAAATTTAAACAGTTAATGGTAACTATAACAAATTTTAAGGATGGACTAGTGAAAAAATTTTCAAAGAAAAGAAGATGCTTTTTCTTGATCTCTTTTACTACTGTGGAATGACACTGATCAATGCATCATCTTTTGAGATTTGTTCAGTGTCTTTTACCGTATTTTGGGTTTTAATTTCTTCATATCTTTCTGGAAAAAAGAGAGAATACAATCAAAATCACAGTGTTTAATTAGAAGCTATAAACTTGCTTGGAAACCTTAAATCTCGAAGAGGATAGTGCCAAGCTTTTTCCACAACGTGAAATTATACCACAAGTGTACGGTGTCAAGTTTTGTAATAGAGTATTGAAGTAAGAGTGTCGAACCCACAAGAATTGTAATTTAATTTTTTACTAAGTACTATAATTGTATAATTCCTACTTTATTCAGATGAACAGATGATTGAATGATTGTGTTAAATTAATGTAATGTAATTCGTTGTGACAAAGTTGATGAATGCAAATTATCAATATGAGAAGGCCTAGTATTTGACTTCACCTTACTCTCAATTATGATTTAACGATTTCCAATTATTCCATTTAATTTTCCCATATTTAAAAGCAAGAATCCTAAAATATTCCTCTCCCCTCTCTCGAGTGCCGTCTAGAAAATAATCCTAGATTCCAATTCCAATATCTCTATTCCAAATTGAAAATCAAGAATTTATAAAAGTCCCGATTCTTTTATGGAGTAAGATTCGCAAATTTTACACTTTCTCTCGAAACCCAAAATTTCCCTTATGATCTTATGATCACGCCTAAATTCCCCTTATGTTGTGTCAATCTTATGATCATGCCTAAATTCCCCTCTCTCGAGTGCCGAAATTGACTAACATCTATTCATTCAATTATTGATCAAGTAATTTAAGCATTAAAATCATGACACAATTAAATATATGCGAAAAAATCAAAGAAATAATTATAAAATCATCAAACCATAATCTCGATTCGGCTACATCAAATCCCTAGGTAATTTGTTTAGTTCATGATATAATAAATGAAAATCATACAAATTATAATAAACAACATAAGAAAAATGATAGAAAAAACTAGTCTTTTGGATAGATCTTCAATCTTCTTCCTTAATGTTGTTATTCCTTCCTTTTGGTGTCTTCAATTTTTGCATTCTTCAAATCGTGTGGTTGAATTCTTCAATCCTGCCCCCCCCCCCCTTCAATTCCTCTTGAAAATAGGTCTTTTCAAATGGTATTTATAGTATCTTGAAATTTTTGGACAAATTAGGGTCGAGCTGGGTCAAGAAAAGAGTCCAAAAACATAAAAACACGTTTTCCCACATATCCAGTGCCTCGACATCCAAGATGGGCGCTGCGACGCTGAGCTTGCTGTTATTTTCAGTGAGTTCGGTCGAAAATGATAGACTACACATCTTTCAGTATTTTTAGCATAATATTCTCGTCTGATATCCTATTGAGGTGATTCAAGATGCGTTGGAAAGCTATCTCAAATAGCTAAAAATTTGCTTCAGACATCATTCTCCAATTCGATCATTTGCCATATCAAAAATGGGTCTGAATGTGAGGCTGAAACTCCCAAGCGTAACTTTTCAATTGGAAATTGGTTTGTGATCATATTTTGCCAAAATGTGATCACTTTGACACCTTTCTTCATCCAATTGACTCCCAACACTCTCTGATCTTCATTACAAGGTTCGATACAAGTTTTTATTATTTGCATTTTAGTCCCCCGAACTTTGGATCTTTTACAATTTTGCCCATTCTCTCCAATTTTGCCAACTTTTGCTTAATTCCTCCAATTTAATGAACCTATATCACAACATCAAGACACATATTAAAACTCTCTAAAATATTCTCAAGGGTAACAAAATAATGAATTAAGGGGTATAAATATAATGAGTGTGAAGCACCCCATCAAATACCCCCAAACTTAATATTTTGCTTGTCCTCGAGCAAACACCAAACTAAAGAAAATCACTAACAAACACAAATAAATAAATACAAAAAAAATACTTAAAACAAATAGTGTTAAATATCTTGCCCTTATAGCTCAGGATTGAAAACATAGCATCAATTTTATAAATCACTTCAAAGTTACAATGCACAAACTAAATTCTCATCCATACAATGCAAAATGGATGTGTGTGTGGAGAATTAAGTACAATACTGTACAATAATAAGTTGATCCAAATCCCGACCTTAAAAGTCAAATATTTCCTTACCTCGCTCGTGAGATTCATACACCCCTCAAACTTACTTTCTTTTCTCTTCCCAAGGGTCTAATCTAAGGTGGATTTTCAATACTAGTTTCTTATACCGCTCAAGTTTGGTCAAAACTCATTGTAGTTCAACATATCAATAAATGAGAAGTCTCCTTATTTTTGACTGCTTCAACCTTTAGGAATCAACCAAGTTACTAACTCCTTATCAAAAGCCTAATCCTTTCAAACAAGTGTTTAGGGCTTAATCAATGAATGTGATGTCCATTTCTTTTCGATATAAATTTATTCTTTAATCACCCTTTGTGCGGACGTCTCTACATTAAGCTTTCTAAATGATCCCTGTAGCGAGTTTTAGATCAATGACTCCCAAATCTGGCAACTTTAGGGCATCAGGTTTTAAACTCTTACGGGCTTAATCACTCAAGTCATAAAGGTTACGAAGAGACAATTCACAATGAGATAATTATGATTGTCCTCATTGGGATTTTTTTTTAAACAATGATTAGTGCAATGTCCCTTGTCAAACACCTATTCTTGAAAATTGACCTCTAACTTAAGGTTTTCACCCAATTTTCATCCTATTAGTCTCAGGCAGTCCACACAAAAAATTAGCACAGACGAAATCCACATTTATCTCCAAGTTTCCATACAACAGTGCAATCATCCAAACATCCTATGTTTGGTTTAATGGTATAATAATGTTTAAAGGTTGTTTGGGTTTAGCATCTAAGTTCTCTAATCCAACATATAAATATGAATCAACATATTCATATACAATGCCACAATCAACTCACGTGCATAAATATTTTCTGTTTCACACAGATAAGCAAAAGTCTAACTCACACATATAACTTATCCATAATCCATAAACCAATACATGTTCTCAATAGTACACATCATTGCCGGCAAGGCTATCTAACTAACACAAGCATGCAAAATGCAAAATGATTTTTTTTTTTAACATTGCATACAAATAAGAGAAATCACACAAAATAAAAAATATATATATGTAGGCAATTAGACAATTTATGATACACTCTAAAATTTAAAGTAAACATTGTCCCCAATGTTAAATTAAAAGAAAATGAGGGAAACTTCCCTAAATTGTCTGAATTGCCAATGATGGTCTGGTGCTTTGATGCTGGACTTGATTCATACTTCTTTTAGTTTTTCCTCCAAAACTTGATATTTATCCAGTTACTCCTCGTCAATGTTGGTTGATTGTTCCATGACGTCATGTTTTTGAATGTTCAAAATGTAGATATTAAATTCATGAAACAAATGTTACTTAGCTTGAATATTTAATAACCAACTTAACTACTCAAAGACCTAAAGGGGAAGGGGTCGGGCTGATGAATTCCTAAATAAAAAATTTTGAAATAAAATAAACTCTCCTATAACTTATAATAAATAAAATAAAATAAGTGAAAAGGTAAGAATGCTTGGGTTGCCTCCCAAGAAGCGCTTTATAGTCACTAGCTTGGCTCAACTGCAACGCCTACGGTGGATCCTCAGGTGGCACATTTTTCTTGTTTCTGAACTTTATCTTTGGCTTTGTATTCTCCTTCATTGTAAGATGACGAACAAAATTAGGCTGTTTTGACCCCGGTATGGCCTTCAAGACCTCTTTTGGTTTGACAATGTTTGGAGTTTTCAAAGGCCAATCCACATAGCTCTTCTTTTTTTTGTCAAATAGGTTAGCTTCTTAGGCTAAGATGAAATCCATCGCCTTCTTGGTTCCTGAGTCATTACTATCAGTGGATGCATCCCTTACTGAGTAACTAATTGCCATGTATTGCACTAATGGATCATAAAATAATTTCCCTTTTCCTCTATTTCTTACAATTACTTCAACTGATTTGATTATTTTGCAAGTGTCGACTTTTCCTTTTTCTAGAGCCTTCTTTTCTTGATGGATTTTGAAAGTTACTTGCTCTTCATTAACTCGTAGTGTCGACTTTCCTTCTTGTACATCAACCAATACTCTTCCAGTAGCCAGGAAAGGTCGGTTAAGAATCAACGGTACTTTCTCATCCTCCTCCATGTCCAATACCACAAAGTCCACCGTAAAGATGAACTTATCAACCTTCACCAACACATCTTTAATAATGCCCTTGGGCTATGTGATCGATCTATCCGCCAGTTGCAAGGTGAGGGTTGTGGGTTTCACTTCTCCAAGACCCAGCTTTTTGAAAACTGATAAGGGCATCGAGTTTATGCTAGCTCCAAGGACATATAGTGCCCTCTCAAATGTGATACCACCAATATTGCACGGGGTGTTAAAGCTGGCAGACCTTTCAATTTGTGAGGGAGCTTCTTTCGAAGTATGGCACTACACTCCTCTGCCAGCTTAACAGTCTCGAATTCCTCAAACTTTCTCTTCTTTGACATCACTTCCTTTAAAAACTTGGCATAGCTAGGTATTTGAGCCAATGCTTCTGCAAAGGGAATGTTGATGTGGATTTTCGTGAAGACCTCCAGAAACTTTGCGAATTTTTCATCAAACTCTTTCTTCAAATACCTCTACGGGAATGGTAGTGGGAGCTTCAAGATATGTGGGTTTTCCAAAAATGAAATTGAGTAAAGCTTATAAATATTCTTTGTTGCCTTTGCCTCATTTTTTTTCCCTTCAGTCTGCTTTTCCCCTGTAAGTATGGGATCCGATGTAGGCACCCCAACCTTTCTAAGTTTGTATTCTTCAACTGCTTTACCACTCCGTAAGGTGATAGCATTGCAGTGTTCCCATGGGTTAACCTCTATATCATTAGGAAATTGTCCTTTCTGTTGAGACTATATTGCAGTTGCTATCTAACCAATATGTACCTCTATATTCTTCATTGTAGCCCCAGAGTTGGTCATATGAGTCTCAATGTTGTCAAGTCTTGCCTCATCTTTGTTGAACCTCGATCTGGTCTCCGAAATGAAAGTTCCTAAAATATCTTCCAGTGATGGCTTTCACTCAGACGCTTGGTTATTAAACCCCTGATAGTAGTTGTTTCTCGAGTAGTTTTCCCTTTGATTGAAGTTTTGATCGTTCACATACTGAAGTTGTTCATTCTCCCTTTCAGCTTTCTCGTATGTAGTGGATGTAGCCATAATAGTTCTGATTTCTTTTACGATCTATGTGAAGTCAATGCAGCTATTTGATTAGTGAGAGATGACATTTGAGCTGCAAGGGCGGTAATAGGATCCACCTCATAAAGGCCAGCAGCTTTCGTTGCACTTGAACGCTCACTCAGCCATTGATAGCTATTAGTAGCTATCTCATCCAATAATGCATAAGCCTCGTTTGGAGTTTTGATAATAATGCACCCCCTGTTGCAGAATCTACCACTATCCGTGTCTAACCATTCAAACCGTTGTAGAAGGTATGTATTTGCAACCAATCTGGGCAACCATGCTGAGGACATCTTCTGAATAGATCTTTATATCTCTCCCATGCCTCATAGAATGGGTCAAAGTCTGACTGTTGGAACTGTCAAATTTCACTCCGCAATTGCACTGCCTTCAAAGGTGGAAAGAATTTTATAAGAAACTTTTAAGCTAACCCCTCCCAAGTTGTGATGGATCTATACAGCAATGATTGGAACCATGCCTTAGCTTTGTCTCTTAGGGAAAAGGAAAATAGATGGAGTCGGATTGCATCTTCAGTAACGCCATTCATTTTCACTGTATCACAGATCTCCAGAAAGGACCCCAGATGAGCATTTGGGTTTTCTGTTGGAGCTCTCCCAAACTGATTCTACTGCACCATGTGTATAAGTCTTGACTTCAGTTCAAAGTTGTTAGCAGCAATAGCTGGGCGTGCAATATCGGAGTAATTTTCATTGACAACTGGTCTGATGTAGTCCTTTATAGCCCGTTGTTGACCATTCTGAATACCCCTTAGAAATCTGAAGGTTCGTTCTTGTTCAAGATCAACAGGTAGTAATTTAATGCTCCTCGATCTTCACATAAACCTGAAACAGGTGTCACAAAATAATTTAAAAAGAAAAAAATCTAAATTAAAATAGAAATTACTTGGTAATAATATTAGCAAAATTTAAATTATACAATCCCTGGCAACAGCGCCAAAAACTTGCCACGCATTTTCCACAACGTGAAATTATACTGTAACTATATGGTGTCAAGTTTTGTAATATAATATTGAAGTAAGAGTGTCGAAGCCACAAGGATTGTAATTTAATTTTTTAATAAGTACTATAATTGTATAATTCCTACTTTATTCAGATGAATGGATGATTGAATGATTGTGTTAAACTAATGTAATGTGATTCGTTGTGACAAAGTTGATGAATACAAATTATCAATATGAGAAGGATTAGGGATTGATTTCACCTTACTCTCAATTATGATTTAACGATTTCCAATTATTCCATTTAATTTTCTCATATTTAGAAGAAAGAATCCTAATACATTCCTCTCCTCTCTCTCGAGTGTCGGCTAGAAAATAATCCTAGATTCCAATTCCAATATCTCTATTATGAATTGAAAATCTAGAATTTATAAAAGTCCCGATTTTTTTATGGAGTAAGCTTCACAGATTTTACACTTTCTCTCGAAATCCATAAAACCCATATTGTGTCAATCTTATGATCGCGCCTAAATTCCCCTCTCTCAAGTGCCGGAATTGACTAGAATCTATTCATTCAATTATTGATCAAGTAATTGAAAGCATTAAAATCATGACACAATTAGATATATACGAAAAAATCAAAGAAATAATTATAAAATCATCAAACCATAATCTCGATTCGGCTACATCAAACCCCTAGATAATTTGTTTAGTTCATGATATAATAAATGAAAATCATACAAATTATAATAAACAATATAAGGAAAATGATAGCAAAACTAGTCTTTTGGGTAGATCTTCAATCTTCTTCCTTGATGTTGTTCCTCCTTCCTTTTGGTGTCTTCAATTTTTGTCTTCTTCAAATTGTGTGGTTGAATTCTTCAATCTTGCCCCCCCCCCCCTTCAATTCCTCTTGAAAATAGAACTTTTAAATGGTATTTATAGTATCTTGAAGTTTTTGGACGAATTAGGATTGAGTTGGACCAAGAAAAGAGTCCAAAAACATAAAAACACATTTTCCCGCATATCCGGTGCCGAGATGGGCGCTGCGGCACCTGGTTCGGTCGAAAATGACAAACTACGCATTTTTCATTATTTTTAGCATAACTTTCTCTTTCGTTATTCAATTGAGGTGATTTAAGATGCGTTGCAAAGCTAACTGAAAGGGCTACAATTTTTCTTCAGATATTATTCTCCAATCTAATCGTTTGCTATGTCAAAAACGGGTCTCAATGTGAGGCTGAAATGCTCAAGCATAACTTTACGGTTAGAAATTGATTTGTGATCATATTTTGCCTAAATGTGATCACTTTGACATATTTCTTCATCCAATTGACTCCCAACACTCTCTGCTCTTCATTACGAGGTTCGATACAAGTTTTGATTATTTACATTTTAGTCCCCAAACTTTGAATCTTTTAAAATTTGGCCCATTCTCTTCAATTTTGCCAACTTTTGCTTAATTCCTCCAATTTAATCAACATATATCACAATATCAAGACACATTAAAACTCTCTAAAACATACTCAAGGGTAACAAAATAATGAATTAAGTAGTATAAATATAATGAGTGTCAAGCACTCATCAGATAGAAATTGAAAACATGTAGAGGAGAGACTTGGAATCTATTCAATCCATGGATACGGCCTACCAAAGAAGAGAGAAATTGAAAACATGCTTGAATTGAAATGAAAGTGGAAATTGAAAAATAATGGTTTAAATTACATGGGTTCCTTATAAACCAGTAGAGGGTGGCGATTTCATATAACCCAGCCGGTCCGACGGGTTCCTATTTGGTTTTTAAACTACGGGGTTTTAAAATCAAACCGGATCGAATTTCGGTCCTGTTCCTGATTTTCCAGGTTGAACCGATCGGTCAGGTCCGATTTTTAAAACATTAAGAAATACCCAAATATTAATCAAGATTCAAAAACCAATTAACAAAGCAGAAAGTAAAGTGCAGAAAATAGAAAAATCAATACAAGGATTTTTCGGACGAATCCCATAGGTTCGGCAACCAAATATAATGCCTTATCCCCTGTTGAGAATCCATTATAAATGGATAAAGCTCTGTTGCATTACAAACCAAAAAATGGCTGCCAAGTTACAATCAGTTCAGAAAACACTGTGATAAAGTCACAGAGACTTATCTTTACAAATGAGCCAAGATCGATCAAAGCCCTAACATCAAGAATCACTATAGAATACTTAGTTCTATGTTTCATTTTCTTTCTTCTAGCTCTAGCTTTTCAAAATCCATATCATCCAATAACGTATATAAGGTTATAGCTCGTGCATCTTCTTATTACTACTAGTCTCCTCCTTGCCATTCCCATCTTAGTCGCTACTTTTCTATTGTTTTCTTACTCTGTTCGTTTTCCTAATTGAAGAAATAATTGGAAAATAAAACAGCAAGTACAAAAATGAGAATAACCCCCTGTAGAGACTGGTACGATTCAATTCAACATTTTGTTCGTTCAGGTTTGATTTTGTCATAGCTCTATAATTCGGATTAGGTTTATCGTTGGGTGAGGGAATAATGGAGTAAGCAATAGGAAATCACGCAAGCACCACTGAATAAGTGCGGTCAAAAGTGATGCCTCGCCACATGGAATGTTATTTCTTCTTCCTCTGGAATGGAAGAATTGGTTCAGCATCAACTCCAGTCTTCTTTCCTTTTCTTACCCACACACCAAACAAGATCAAAAAGAATGTTGTTCCTAGGCCTATAAGACTGCTGATTTGCTTTATTTCTGCTCTTCTCTATTTAGGGAGAATTTGATAGGATAGAGATCGGTCTTATAAGATTTCCTTTAGCCACCCCATTCTGACTGACGCTAGCCTAATTGAAACAGTGTTGGAGCAAATAGGACAATTTATCCAAACCTCTGATAATGGGATGGGTAGAATCCCTTCCATTCTATAGGAAATAGAGCTTTCTGTAAAGAAAAAGCTAAGCAAATTGACCTGGAGAAGGTCCGGCAACAAGGTCCCAAGGCCCATTCTCGATACGAAATTAGGCCTCTTGGGGATCGAATTCTGTATTTACATTGATTTGACCTACCTTTTGCAATAGTGAGCTATTCAGCTTTTCTCTATCTATCGCCTGCCCCTTCCACACGTACTTCTCGATCTTCCTTCGTCTTGGTAGTTCTCATTTAATTCTTTCTTCTTTCGCATTCACTTCCTAATTGAATCTTATCCCAGCTCTCCAGGAAGCAAATGAACCATTGGCTATGGAAGACAAGGGTTATAAGATAAGAAAAGAGTGTCCCCCACCCCCCCCCCCACCCACAGATCAACAAAATCCTTTAGGGTATGTTTGATTACATTTATTTTCCATGGAAAATATCAATTTTTCACACAAATTTCTACTTGAAGTGTTTGATTGCTATTTTTTTCATGAAAAATATTTTCCAACTTTTGAAAATATGCCTAATTTTCCTTGTTTTTAAGGAAAACCTTTTCCTTGGGTAGAGGTAATTTTTATTTTCTACAAAAGATGGAAAATATTTTCTTTTCTAGATGATATTTTTCATGTCAATCAAATACACTCTTAGATTCACATCAACAATCACTCAGAAATACAAAGTAAACACTCGAAACCCTAGTGAGTGAATGAGGCTTTCTCTCTCTATAGTAGAAAAATGGATAAACCAAGAAAGTGAATCGATCTGACTATGCAAAACGTCAAATTAGGTTATAAATTAGAAGAGTCTAGAAGGCTCATCAACCGGTTAGAAGAGTGCCACATGTCAGAGATCCAGCCTTTAAAATTCTTTAAAGAGTTGTCAATATGTAAAACACGTTTTCATCTTATAAAATTGTGGAAGCACATTTTTGCTCAGGAAGTTCACAATTCGAACCACAACAATTCATTTGAAGATTTATCTGCAATTATTTTGGTTCAACTACAACATAGGGAAGGATAGGAAATTCTCATTTGTAGAATTCTTTTGATGGTGTCTACAATTGAGAGTAATGGTATATTTATTCAGTTTGAAGCACAAAAGAAATTCTCTTTTATTATTAAACAAACTTGTACAACGGATTTTATTACAAACACTCTTTACCACACCACACTAAATTCCACTCAAACAAGCACCTCACTATTTAATTTTATTATTCCACTAACTAGCCCTCAATTCTTTCTCATTTATATCTCGTTTCCGTCTTTCTATGTACACTTTTCACTCATCACATATTTCACACTCACACACTCGTACAGCCATTGCACACATATATATATATACACACAAGCAAAGTCAGTGAATTGGGCATCCAAAATTCTAGATGAATCTATCAATGGCGGTGGAAGCAAATTATTTAGCAACCATTCCAGAATCTTCTTTGCTTCAAATTATGAACAATTCTAGGTACTTTTCTAATGTCGGCAGCTATGGAAAATCTGGAAAGTCGATGATGGTTCTTCAATTCTCCCCTTCAGCACCGACTTTTCATTTTGACTCTTTTCTTTTTTGTTATGCCCTAGCTCTTCTTTAAACTTGATAAGTTTCGAATTACTTGATCCTTTATTCAACACATTTGCAACTTCAAATATATTTAGCTCTTCCATGCTTTCCTCTTCACCGATTTTTAGATTAGGATATTTGGTATTTGATTACTCATGTTCGTCCAACTTCTTTATTTGAGGTTGTAAATTTGGACGTACCTCAATCCCTTGTTGTTGACTTGGCCTAATCTCCTCTGATGTTGTCTGATAAACATGTGTCTGCCAAGAATTTTATATTACGCTTATAGACTTCTTCTCCTCAATTGATCCTTGTGCATCTTCTGTTCCTCGTGGCTTAGTTGTACTTGTGCAATCTCTTCTCGTAATTTGTTTTTCATTGTCTGTAAATCTAGCAGCTCTATCCTCTTCAGTACCTGCTCCACCCTCTGCGATATCTCCAATGAATATACTTCTTCAAATGTTTTTTCTGAGTTTGGTAGTTACTCCTCCACGGAGTCCACCAAGAAAACACTTTCTAAACCATGATGTCCTCTTTTGAATCATTGATCCAATCATCTTTTCCCAAGTCATCAATCCAATAATCGTCACAATTCATTTACTCAAGCAAGACTATCACTAACGCTGATTCGTTATTTAAGCTTGAATTGATTTTCTTTTTCGAGCCTGCTCAGTTACTGTTATGGATGCCTCAGTATCCCATTCTTTTTCATTATTGTATTTCTCTTACTCGTTGGAGGTTACTATATTGCCTTCTACATCCTCCTTTTTTAAACAGCAATCTCTAGCATAGTGGCCTCGTTTCCACATACAAAGCACACGCCATTAGTTCGTTGTTATCCTTGACATCTCTTGTTGCAATTTTGTTCAGCTTCCCTTATCATGTAGCTTTCTTCACGTTTATTTTCTATATTATTTTGTTGACGTAATTAACCTATTCTTTTATAGCTAAATAATGATTCTTTCTCTTCTTTCTTTATTGAGACCCCTAACATTTGTTTGGTCAACACTTCTTCGTCGGACAACAAATTTTCAAAATTAACTAATGAAGGTTGCTATGACCAATCTTGTATTACAACGACAAAACCTCTAAATTATGGTCTCAATTCATGTATGATTATTCCTCTCATTCTAGATTTTGAAATTTTACTTGAAGCGTCTAATTCAGAAATTTCACGACAAAGAAATTTTACTTTATTAAAATATTGACTTACCATTAATTCTCCTTGAGTGATCGAGAGCAGCTCATTTTTCAGCAATTGCAATCTCAAGTCATTTTTCTTCGAGAATAGTGAGGCCAAAGTATCACATGCTCTTTTGGTGTAATCTTGTCTCTTATGTGTTCCAACAATTCTTTCTCAATTGTTGTCTTTATAACGAATAAAGCCTTACCTGCTTTGATTCTCCACTCCTTCAGAGCTCCGACTTTCTCTAATAATGTCACGTCAATTTCGCCAACAACTTTCCACAGGTCTTTTCCGGGCCCTTGGAGATATGACTCCATGCAAGTTTGCAATGTGATATAATTCTAATTGTTGAGCTACCTTATTCGGCCTACCACTTGTAAGTTACCCATCCTGACTTGAATCACCTCCTCTTAATCAAGCAAGCTTTAACAAAACTTCACAATCTCCTTTTGTGCATGATCTCGAGAAGCTCAAAAAATCATTTCCCAACCATCTAGCTCTGATACCAAATTGTTGAGTTTGAAGCATACAAGAAATTCTCGTTTATTACTAAACAAACTTGTACAATTGATTTTATTACAAACACACCTTACCACATCACACTAAATTTCACTCAACCAAGCACCTCATTATTTAGTTTTATTATTCCCCTAACTAGCCCTCAATTCTTTCTCATTTATATCCCGTTTCCCTCTTTCTCTGCACACTTTTCACTCATCACTTATTTCATACTTGCGCACTCATACCGCCACAAAACACACACACACACACACATATATATATAAATTGTTTAGCAACCACTACAAATTCTTCTTTGGTGCTAATTATAGACAATTCTAGGTCCTTCTCTAATGTCAGCAGCTATGGAAAATCTGGAAAGCCGGTGATGGTTCTTCAATATTTAATAAAGATAAGAACCTGGAATTGGAACTGAGGTGAACTAACAACATATGCTTACATATATAATTAAATAAAAGTAGAAAGATGGGCCAAATATGGCAGGGGAAAGAATGAAATTATACATGTGTTTTAGCACAAATCACGTTTTGGATTCATTAGGAGCGATTCAAGAAGGATCATGTCAATGACTGATATAGGACAACTAGCTTTGAAATTTGAAGAAGTGTTGGGCAGAAAATTAACAAAGAAAAATCGCATCAGGGACAATTTTGTCATTTGTCGCGATGGTGTTGAAATGGGTTGAAATTTGGTAGGTTGATTGGAAATGGCCCAAGAAATTGGACTCGGGACAACGCCCGAGATCTCGGGATTTTAGTCAAATTCCTTCGTTTAGGCCTCCGAATAATTAATTTTTGTATTTCCCGTTTTGAATTTTCGCTATTTTTGGAACATTTTATTTTTTCTATGTTTTAGGGTTTCTTATAACGCCTATTTAATGGCTTTTGGAACGTTTTCTGTCATCATTGAAGAATATACAAGTTTCATTCTTGGAAAATTTCAATTTTCTTATTTTCAATAATTACGTTGGCAAATCTTTTATTTTTTTTCTTACTTCCATTATGCGTCAATGACTCAATTGAAGCATTTCTCATTAAGTGCCAAAAATCAGGCCGCTTTTCCTTTACCTGTTTTGTGATCCATTACATCCTTTCACATAGCTACACGAGCTAGAGTTGAAAAATTAATAAGATAAAACATTGTTGCAAGATAATTTCCCAATTATACGTTTAGTCTCTTTTAACTGATTATATATGCTTATGTCTAGTGATCGATATTGACCAGGAAATTCAATATTTTTATGAAATTCAACAATTGGGTGTGTAGTACTTGTTTGCCCAATGAAATTAGTGATAAAAAGTGACTTGATCAAAAGCGAGTTTTAATCATGGTGAAACATAATGAATGAGATCCATTCTGAATTGGAGAAGGCGGTTTTTTCTCCATTTACAAGGCATTTACTCGTCATATATCCAAATTTAGCGATCATGTATTCGTAGTCATATTTTTCTTTTATTAGATTAAATTTATTTGGCTACTAGAATGCTGCTGTCTTCAAGGCAATTAATGTCGAATTCATCATAAGCTGCAATGTGCTCTATCAACCGGAAAAGAAATTGCAGTTAAAAGACTATCCAAGGAATCAAGGCCTCAGAAGAATTTAAAACGAAGTTTATGTTTATTGCTTAACTGCAACATTGGAATCTTGTTAGGCTACCGGGATGTTTCATTCATGGAGAAAGAGAGGATCTTGATTTACGAATACACACTCAATAAGAGTTTGGACCACTCAATTTTCAGTAAGTTGTTCTCAACCAACAGATTTCATATCCGTCTCCTAAACAAATTAAATATTCAAATTCTATATCAATTTGACTAAAATCGAACAAAAGATTCAACCTTGGATTGGCGGAAGCTCTTTGACATTTTCCTATGATTGAATTTCCTGTGCTGAATTTTTCAATAATTGATTAGGCTAAGAAATTTATAATTCAATAACCAGTGAAATGTGTCAATACACTAATAATTCATTTTGTTAGCTATGCACAAAAATATTATGATAATTTAGGTTAATTTATATGTATTTTTGGACGCTACAAAATTTGACAGTCAAGATTCTACAACAAACATAAGCAAATATTATGATAATTTAGGTATATATATGCAGTCTGCTTACCAAATCTAATTTTTGTCCAAAATAGTGGTTAATCAGCTCAATGGATTCCACTTCAACATTCCATAAACTATGAATAATGCTACTTGTACATAATAGCTTACATACAGATAAGGTGTCAAAAGAGAATGAAAGTTTTTTTTTTTTCTTTTTATAATTTGGTTGAAAAAATTATGATCCAATCATATTCTTCCCCATCATGTGTATGTAAACTATTATGTAAATTATTATGTTTAAGTACATGTAGCACTATCGATAATCTGTTAAACAACTTCAAATTTACAACAATGAAAGAAGCTCTAGACAATCCTCTTCTTTATTATTATTTTTTATTTTTATTTTTTTTTATTTTTTGATACTTGAGTTCCATAATAAAACATTTATTTCTTTTTTCTTCAGCCGTCTTCATCTTCTACATAAATTAATCAAAAGGAGGTGGCACCCTACCATAAAATACATAGAAACAGGAACAAAAACCCCTTAAAATCTGCTAAATTCAGCTCAAACAAATAATGGATAATCCCTTTAAACTAATCCAAAATTCAGCTAAATTTAGCACCTGTTCCTGTCCCTAATAAACCTAACCCCTAACTATAATCCAGAAATTATTGATTACAACCCATATACTTTTAAGTTTAATTTTCTGTTTTCTAATCATTCTCTTGCCTGCACGAATGGCGCAGGATTGGAATTTCGTTTGCTTGTCTCTACCTGAATGTTCCTCCAAAGGTAGGCGTCCAAAAGTCAGTTGCAGTCTCAGCAGCAACTGGGAATGTGCCTGATATTGGTACAAGGCAAAGTCCCCGGCTTTTTAGGTCCTGCTTATCAGCAGCCTGCATAAAACAACTATGATGATTATTCTATAATGTCAAATGGTTGTAACCTTAATTCCTTGTGCATTCTTCTAACTATATATTTTCCATTTTGCAGTTTATTTATCTTTAATTCCTACCTAACTAGTTTGCACATAAAGGGAGAAAAAAATAAGGGACACAATACGATTCTACACACGAAAATACAATTTTATAAATTGAACATGAAATGTCGTGAAAATTTCCATGATTAAAGTTAATATAAGCATTCAATATTTAATTCAGGAATAGCTATTTAACATCAAATAAATGTTATCTGTTAAACAAATGGTTCAAAGTAATGCACTATGCCATTAAAAAAGATTTATCTATAATATCACTACCAAAAAGTTTTAGCTAATTTTTTTTTTTTTTTAATGAATAAGTTAAAATGCACTATTATATACAAGTTAAAGCCCACAATGGAACCTGCATTCAAATATTTTTAATGCAAAGTTTCTTTTATGCTTTCAAATTTATTTAAAAAAACTATAACATGCACATGATTTTTTAAAAATAATTTCGATTTTCGCTGAAACCAAAATGCTATCCTCTTTGGAATCATCGTACATTAGGGTTGTACCTGTTGACGTTCAACAAACGATCCATTTTTCATGTAGGAAGTGCTTAATACACTGACTTGATCATGAAGAAACTTGATATATTCAAGTGTTTCTTGGAGAACTGAAGCAGTATCAGTCTGAAAGAGTGATTAACAGAAAATCATTCAGTTAGTGTTTAGTACAAAAAATAATTAGCTCTCAAATTAAGTTTAGGACTAATTAGGTTTTAATGAATAATTATTCCAAATTTTTACCTTTCCGAAAGGTGAAACCAACTGTTGGAGGACAGTGATTCGGTCCCCTAGCTTCTCTTTTCGGACCTGATAACAAAAGCTAAAGAGTTCTCATCCATTTCTTTTTACAGCAAATGATTTTGCTTGTAAAAGAAAAAGCATAAAGGTTAATTTAGTAAAGAACTCAATCGATTCTGCAGTACCTTAAAGGTTGGTGGTGATGGCGATGGTGTTTCAATTCTTGGTCGCTTTAATGCATGTTCGCTGCTGGATTTCTTTGCCACTGAACTTAACCCTCGTGTTTCTTTATTGACACCCTGAATTTTTTTTTTTTTTCCTCGAATGGAGACTTAATCCGTTGTTACGAGAGAAATAATAAATTTGATAATATCGGACACCCACAAAGCAAAGGCACAGATATTCATTTCAGTACATTCAAGAAGAAGAAATGCTTCCTCGCACACAAATAAAAGGGACGCTATAAAAATCCTTCATATAAATAAGAAATATTTTATGAATCCGCAGGGGAATAAGTGTACACATTATTAAACTCCACACATTCAACAAATCGTAATCTGCCAAAATTACTTTTATATATCGAACAATTGATTTTTACATGGTATATACCAAATGATATTTACCTTAAGAAGATTAGGTTTCGAGTTGATATTTGATGAGGGGAACTGGGATTGTGTTGAAGTGGGTAAACTTGCTCGAATATCATTCAAAGATGCAACCTTGGCATTCAACGAGGGTATGTTATTTGAGAACTGTAAATGCTTAGCAGGTTTTTTGTTTGGCAGTGAAACCTTTATCAAGGGAGAGAGTTGGGGCAAAGGAGGAGCAAATTCATTCGAGTACTTCTTCAGGTAACTAGTAGGAGATTGATAGTTCATTACCCGGTTATTTAATGAAGAATTATGTGGCTGAGAATCTGTATCAAATAAAGAATTCAACAACGATGAACTGTAAATGGATGAATCTAGGCCCCTGTTCTTGGAATTCCAGTCCTTTTGGATATGTGGACAGTTTATCCCAGTTTGTTGCAGATAATTCATGCTTGATGCCAAGTTTTCTTGCAGTATGTGAACACAATTTCCCTGAGATAATCTTCCATTTTCATGGCTGCAAAAAGACAAGAAGATAAGAGATAATATTGCATCAACTTGACATCTTTTTTCATATATGATAACGAGGTAAATAAGTCTGAAAAATATTCTTCTTTTTGGGCACCCAATAGAACACAGAAGAGTAAGGATTACTACTTAATACTTACAATTAATTCTATATACTTACAATAAATCTCGGTTCCAATTATCAGGTGTTGATGATGGACTTTCATTCTCCATCATTTGTAAGATTGAACCAATTGGTATGTTTCCATTGGCAATGAATTCTGAGTCTGTTTGCTGAGGTTTTCGAACATCTTGGAGTACTATAGAGCCATCCGAAGGTGAACCCGAGTCATCGTTAGACCTTGTATTCATGTTCATGATCATGTCATTAGGCCATCCAAAGTTTGCAATTTCATTGATATTGGATGAACACAGGGAAGAGCCAAATATATTTCTGGATGAATTCCACCAGTTTCCTCCACAAACCTCGCCTTGAAAGTACTCTTCTGCCATGGCAATTACTTTTTAATTTCTAGTTCAAGCCCTTGACAAAATTAGTCTTCTTTTCCAGCACTTGTCTTCTTGTTCTTTATTCCTCTTGCTTTTAGTTGTGTCTTGTGTTCTCTGCAAGTATGGTTCATATATATATATATATATATATATATATATATATAAGTGAATTTTGTGGTTGGTACACATGCAAACGCGCTTACATGTACGTGTTGAATCACTTTGTTTAAAAGTTAAAAATGGATCAAACAATCATATTTATTTCATTGATGTCTAGGTGATGTAGTTACTCACATTCAAAATCTCTATCTACTCAAGTTGGGTTCATGTTTATAAGCACTCAAACAACTTTTTATCTACGCATTTCGAGAAACCTACTTATCGACCATTCATTTTTACGAATTTCAAACTATTTATTAACATACGTCTCAATCATACATGCGAAATGGTTGAGCAGTAGCCCACACGTGAATTAAAGTGTAGGTAATTGGTTGACATTTTAATGTGTTTATGATTAGAAAAATAAATCAAGAAGCTAACTAATATTGAACCATGACACCCAAGAAGTAAAAGGAACATTGGATCGAATTCTCCCTCTTCATATAATATTGAGGAGTTTTCAAAACTAGCAAAAAACTATGTGAACATTTTAGTAAGTCAACCTTTTAAAATTTGTGCATGGCCGCATCATCTAGACAATTCTACTCTTTCTCAAAAATGGATGAAATTTATGGATATTTCATGATCATGTAGTCCTCAAAGGTTTGTACACGAAACTCGAAACACTTTGTCTTAAAAGTTGAATGGGAATTAAATTACTAGTAAAAAGTAGAACCAAACTTAAATTCTTATTTCATAACTAATTGCCAATAAAAAGATTAGCTTACTTAACACATGCATATCGAACAAAAATGACTATTCATTTAAATTCACTTCCGAGGATCCTAAAACTTTTATCAATTATTTAAATTACTTATTGGCACTCAATCCGTCATATCGAATTTGACAAACAAAATTTTATTACTTAATGAAAAGGTGCTCTCTAACCTAAGTATTACATAAATAAACTTCCCACGACTATATATAATTCTAGATACACTGGAAAATCCGTATTTGATATACACTATAAATCAATTATATTATTTACTGTACAATATCAAGAATTAATCATACGGCGGTCAAGTTCCGCCTCCGTACACGACGGGGATTAAGGTGGGTGGGTGAAGTCGTGAAGGTGGCGCTTGCGGGATTGAGTGGGCTGTTTGAAGTTTGAGACAAAGCGTAGTGCTCATAATTCGTGTGGTGAGGGATGCTCACAGGAGTCAAACCAAGGGTCCACAAACCACACGCGTAAGACTCGACCCTTCTGGCCTTTCAAGTGCCAAAATTGCTTGATTATGACTTTTATAATTTTAAAAATTGAGACCAACTATGAAAGATAATATGGTAAACTATATGTTGGTCAAATGTACAATTATGGAGAGTATTAGTTTTAATGCTAATTATTTCCTTCCAATAGGAATTTTTCTTCTCTCCTCATTTCGTTTCTACAAATCCATGTGAGATTGTTCAAGTAGATAGATTTGAGATTACAAATTAAAAGATTAACAAAAGAACCATGAACTCTAAGGCCACTCAAATGTAGGGGTGGGTGAATTTATTTATTTTTAATAATCACTCACCCACCTTGGCATGTGAGTGGCATGTACAGGACTTGTACAGCTAGCAAAATTCAAGAACCATCCCCACATAGTCCTCCCAAAAACCCAATAGGGGAAGTAGGTTGAATGGGACAACTCGTTTGGAGGGTTCGAGGGATATGAATTTTTATTAAAGAAAATATATATATACTTTATATGGTTCAAAAAGAGAATTTGGTCAGAGCCATCAACTCTTTGGTTTGGATTTTTTATTCGTCTTCTCGCAACATTGGAATATTGTTCTGTTTTAAGAAAATGACCAGTTGACCAGTTTAACGCTCATGTCATGGCTTATGACCCATCCTCCTACCATTTATACCTAATACAGTTGTTCAAGAATGTAATGAATGAGAATTAAGAAGTCAAATTATAAGAATTTTAGTGTAAATCTCTCCTATTCACACATTCACCGGCACATCACTGCATAAACCATAATTCGGATAATCCGTGTTTGTTTATCTAGAAAAGGCTGTTACTTAACGTAATTATTACTAAGTCCCTATTTGGGACACATTTTTTAGGAAATTAGTAGACAAATTCTGACCGTTGAAATGTCAGACGAGACCCGCGGTAGAGAGAAAGAGTCAAAAGTACTGCTGAAATTTGGCATCAATGGTCAGAATTCTCATTCTTTTCCCTTGAAAATGTGTCCCAAATAGGGGTTAAGATTAACATAAGTGGTCAGTTCGATTATAATTACTATTTTAGTTCGTTAATGTTGGAGGTTGGTCATATATATCATGGATTTGCATAAAAATCACCAAAAGTATATAGTATATTTATACTATCAAATTTGCTTGGCGATCTTATTTACAAACTCACGTTATCATATTGGATTTGCTTAAGAAGAAAAACATACCGATTATTTTGTGAATTTTGAAACAAATCAAAATATAAGCATACAATGACACTACTTATTTGTGGACCTGATGATGTCACTACGAGGTCATATTGAGGTGTAGGAATTGACAAAATAAATATAATAAAATAAAAGAATCAGAAGCCCACGGGGCACTCACATTGGAGGTACCACACAACACAATAATCCATACGTCCATATCGAATGCCAGAAAAAAAGGATAGAAAAGTATTATTTTGTGAAATCCTGTTATCTGCCGTCCCCACGTTTTGTGTACAAAACGTGCTTTCGTGTTTCTTATTTTATTTTTCTTTTAACGGAATAGGCGCCGCCCACTGTCCTCTCCGCTGCCCCATTTTGAATTCCTTTTCACACCACCCACATACTGACTAAATTTTGAACGTCATAGCTTTCGTAATCGAATTTTATGACTTAGTCGATAAAGTTTTGTTGTTCTTAATTATATATTTTATGACACTCACTAATTAAATTTTAAAGTTATTAAAAATAAGATAATAATAATTACGAGCCATAACCCATAAGTCTAAAACTATCTTGAAATTAGATTAAGATTATTTAACTGTCATATCATGCAAGATTGACAATTGGGGTGACCATTATTTTCTTAAAATGACACTTCTAGAATTCTTAGTTATTAAATAGAGAGATCTTGACTGTTGGAATCTCCATTGGTAACGAGTTAATGGTTTGGCGCTTAACATTATATATTGTCTTTGGATCTGCGGATATTGCATAATTATCAAACCCTAAAATGTCTCTCCGCCGTCCTATCACGACCTTCACATAGGAAATGATTGTCTATGTCCATCTCCATCCCATAATCACTCTTCATCGTTCGCCACGCTCCATAATTTATACTATTTTTTTTTAGCTGTAGACTATTTAAAGATAAAAGGGAATGACTATTAAATGAAAATCAATATCCAGATTGAATGTATGAATAATGCATGACGACTTCTTTTAACTCCAAGTACGATCGACTCGATATCCATCTATTATGCTGCACGATTCAGTATAACTCTCACATGCTTCTATATAAATTATAATTTTTTTTTTTTTTTTTAAAAAGAAACTCAATTTCCTCCAATAAGATGGAAGACTTTCATTGTTTGCCATGTTGACTTATACTGATGATCATGACATCCATATTACATCATCATCATTGAGCAACTTTGAAATGGGTCAAAGGGATAGGTCGAAATAAGGTATATGTTTGAGTAATATGATGGAGTTTAGAGGAAAAGTTGGACCTGCTCTTTTGCCTGTTACATATTTTCTCAATTGATCATCAATGTTGGTGCATTCATTATCCTAAACCACCTTTTGTCTTAAGGTCTAACTACGGTTTAAAGTGAAATTAACTTCTTATCATAATTAAGGTCCGACCATCTTTTACCATCATATCCAAACAATTTTATAGTTTATCAAGGTCTTAAAGACCTACTTAAATAACATTAAATTTCTCTAAGCTTACCTATTAACTTATTGAGTGTGGCTATGTACTCAGAAGTGTTTATAGAATTCCACAGTAAATAAGCTCAAGACAAGAATTAAGCATATACTTAATTAATACATGCCAATTTTTGATAAACAATACTCTGGTCTATTGAAAATGAAGTTTCATCTCCTACCAATTGGTTGCTTCCTTAAAAAGTCTCGATTTCGAGGAAGGTGTAGTCAATTGTTTTTCCAAATGCAATGGGACATGGCTCACTCTTCTCTAAGAAAGAGATAAGTACTTGAAAGTTCGCTTACTTTGCCAATTTAGTTTGACACTACGTAGGGATGTCAAAAAGGCTCGACGGCTCGGGTGGCCCGCGGCCCAACTCATGACTCGGAGCAACCGAGCCGAAGCTCAGGCTGAGCCCCATTTTGGGGACACGGGCAGAGCCCAAGCCAGCCCGCGAGCCTTAAAAAAACAAAAAAAGAGGCCGCATTTGTTGCCTTGAAAGGCAGAAAAATAAATAAATAAAAGCCAAGGTAGCCCAAAAAAAAAAAAAAGAGACCAAGCTGGCTCGAGTTGAAAGCTCGGGTCGAGCCGAAATTTTTTAACCGAGCAAAAGTCGACTCGGCTTGGGCTCGTAAAAAAGCTTGACCATTTTAACCGAACCGAGCTCGAGCCTAAAGTTTTAGGCTCAGGCTCGGCTCAACTTGTTGACATCCCTAGCACTACGTGCGGAATTATTTTATTAAAAGTAACAAATCACTTTTTAATAGTTTCTATATGATTAATCCAATTATTCTAAGTTAAATTGCCGCAATTTGTAATAGGAAAATAGTAAATAACACCAATATGATGATGGAGAAATCCCAACTCGGTAAAAACTTTGGGACCAAGTCAGTTACCTCCATTATAAACAATGAATGTTATAGTTAGATGCTATTTAGCCAACTCCACTAGACTTTTCAATCTATTTTTCGTAATATCCAAGATAATGTTGTCTCATCCAACTTCCCAATCTTGTACAATTGTCTCTTCAAAGTAGATACTCAAGAATTGCCTATTCTTGTCCTTATTCATATGCTTC